AGAAGATATTTTCACTTGTTTTACTACTCTGGTTATTATTGCACATATCTATATGGATTCATTTGTAAGGTAGCCAAAAAATACTGTCTGAAACAATATAAATATTTTTTTTACTATGTATTTTCATGTTTACCAACATACTAATTCCAAACTGCAAAATGACACATTAAACAACCAATTATATGTTACTGGTATTGTTCAAGACTGTAACACATTGCATATGTGATGCTGAAGATGGTTTTGTTTTTGTCTCCGTCAGTTGATTCGAGTGGTGATGAGCTCCGTGAAGATCCAGGGTGCTCTCTCATCTGTCTGTCTGCTCCTCTTTTATCTTGGGTAAATTAATTACCTCAAAGTGTATGGTATCACATAATGTGTAATTTTGACTGCATCACTTAGCATGCAACATAATCTCTACAGACCTAGAGTATTTGATTGTTTTGTTTTCAAACTGTGTAAATGTACATCTGTGAACATTCTGTGAGCAGTTTTGGCCGGTTTCTTCATTAGAGGTGGTTGTACTGCTATAGTTTTGAAATCATGTAGCAATGCAATATGATTAAGTTACAGGGAATTTCTATTTATTTTTGTTCTGAAGAAATTACTACTTTTATTCTGCAGAGATGCATTGAATTGATTAACAGTGACAGCAAAGACTTTGATAACATTTTAAAAGATTTCGGTTTCAAATAAATGCTGATTCCTGAAAAAAGCATCACATTTCCACAACAATTTTAAGCAACTATTCAAAATTCATGATTATAAGAAATGTTTCAAAACCACCATAATCAGCATATTAGAATGATTTCTGAAGGATCATGTGACACTGAAGCAAACCAAACCAAACACCGAACCAAAACTTTTAAATGGTAGTGTATTTTAAGTAAAAACTGCTTAATGTAGTGTGGTTAGCTGTCATGTTTAGCCAAAGTAGTTGATAGTAGAGTAGTTAGCAACATTTTGTGAGTAGCCTGCCCAATGTAAGATTGTAATTGCAAGTTTTAAATTTTTGATTGTTTTGTTTGATTTTGTAGGTTGATAACAATGAAAGTGTTAAATAGTATAGTTATTCTGGGCAAGTCCTGTCACTATGTGAAGGAAGCTAACATGGAGGGTAAGCTGTTTGAAAGACCGACTGCTCAAACCTCTAAACAAACTCCCAAGAAAGCAAACCCTGCCAAATCTCCCCCACCCTCAGGTAACACCAGTTTGATTATTCAGTAGTTCAGACATTGTCACCGTTTCTCAAACTCATGTGACTCCTGTTTTTTGTGCTGAGGGAATTTTCAAAGAATCATGTTGCTCTTTTTCTTTGTTTCTTTACCTCTTTTTAGCTGAACCTAAAGTGCAGCGACCCTCCACCTCCATCACCAAGCAGCCGAGCCCAAGAGCGAAGCCTTTTCCCCCGGCTCCACCTCCTGTAACTGAGGTGACCAGTGACCCGCCCCCAGATTCTCCTCCTAAACCAGAGGAGAGCAGCAGCGAGACGCCACAATCTACTGAACTTAAACACAGAACCACCAAAAAAGATCTGTTGGAGATCGACCGCTTCACAATATGCGGCAACCGAATCGGATGAACTTTAACCCCACCTCCATAGTAACTGCTCAGGAACGAAAGTGGAGAAGACTCAGAGTCTGAGTCTGAAATAATTGCAAAGGCTTTCGAGTGAGTTTTTCAGAGGTGGCTACTGTTACTCGTTTTGCCGTCCTCTCTGCTTCCATTTCTGTGGAATATCTACCAAAGGAAGCAGATCTTGTGCGTAAAGCATTTCAAATCAAAATGAGTCTGTTCACCTTCGGCAGCCTGGCATATATCACATGACGTGGAATCTAGTATATGTTGCTTTAGGATAAATTTGTCTCGATTTTATCAGAAAAACTTGGAACAATAAACAAGGCATGAACTTCTTACAAACCAGACCTTTTATCTTTAAGTGGAAACTAAAAAGCATAAATTACAGTTTTTAAACACTTGAAAAAATCAATTGAGTAATTTACAACTGATGCATATAAATAGATAAAGTTATATATATTCACACACTTTTGGCTTCGAATAACATGCTAAACGGGTTTGCCAATAATGCTGCCATTAGAATTGATCAGTCTGGCAAATATTTATTTTTAGAACTTGTAAAGGTATTATTTGTTTCAGTTGAAGTCTGTATTGTAACACATACATTTCTTTAAAACACATGACTCACAGAAAGGGAAGGTTTAGCTAAACTAATGCCAGGCTGCTTGATAATTCAGCTCTGTATAATATCCGTGGTGCCAATCCAGCTAACTTAACTTTGCACTGATTTACCACTTTGTCTTAAGCTGTACAGAGTATTTTTGTGTTTCTAAGTATGAAAGTTTACACCAGCTATGAAAGAGCAAATAACTGTTTCATATGAAGTGTAACAAAATGAGTGTTTTTTGAATGCACATTGTTAGTGTATTTTGAAATTCAAATCATCTGTGACCAATCATATACTGAGAGACTATTGTTTGATATAATTAATATTTTTGTTGTTTTAAATGTAATTAAATTATTATCCAGTAATTAATAGTTCAGTATCATGTTTATACTGTTTTATAATGTTGCTTGGAAGGTGAGGAAAGTTGACTGTCAATCTAAGTCTGTACAGCCTATGTCTAGAATTTACCTCCAGTATAGTCATGAGGTGCAGAGGTACCAAATGACAAGTCACTTGAAAATGGATATTCCGTTATTCTCTTTTGACTGAAAATGTTTGTTGAGAAGTGTTCCTGCCATGGTCTGAAGTGTGCATAATTTGCATTTCAGTATATTGTATTTTGTTTTATTTCCATTGTAAAAGTTGAAAGACTATTTTTGGAGAGATTCTGAACAGGGTTGCACAGGTAGTTGCCCTCACGGTGTGTTCTCATTTTTTTTTTTTAAATGTACTATAATGCTAAAGACTAAACCATTTGTTTTTATGTAATTCCATCCCTGTTTTTGGGACAGCAAATAAAAGTTGTTTTGTAATTTGTGCCATATGTTTTATAATTTGTGCCATATGTTTTATATTACATGAGTTTATACAGAATTGTGTATGTTTTTGGTGCTGTGACTGGTCGTCATATTGTAAGTATTTTACAGTTTTTATTCACCTTGTAGTTTAATCAGTCAGAATGCATTCTCCATGCTACGCTCTGGTATTAAACTGCACCCATGTATCTGACAGCCTGAGACAGTAATCTGACACTTTGTGACCTTTTCTCCTACAGAATTCACCGACGGTGACGGACGGCTAGTAAATCCAGTGTGGTTGTCCTCTGATGTGACCTTGGTGATTTGTCATTGTCCTGCTTGCCATTTGGTAAAAGAATCATTTCTTGTCCAAACAGGCCGTCGGGGTTTTGACACTGTTGGATTTTGTCTTTGGTCAACAATGTCTGACACACAGAACATTCTGCAGCCATTGCATTCTTCACAGAATCCTTTAATCCACAGCTAGAAAGAGAATTTGATCAAGTGAAGTCCTGCTCTGATATCATGTGCACAACATTCTGAACCTCCCTCACATTCTTTATGAATTAAGCAGTTGTTTCCCAGAATATAGTGAAGGAATAACATGCCTGGTTTAAAATTAAAGGACTTTTGCTGTAGATAGACTTCCATTGGCCTTGTGGACTTGCAAAGTAAAAAGTGACATAACAGTTATGGAGATAACTGCAATGTATATCAATAATGTCAAATTAAATTAGACTTGATGACATTAGTGTAATATAGAGTCTCTCTGTGTATTTGAGCTGTGCATATGAATGAAATACACAAAGTACTTTGTGTTCTTGTTTTAATGCCTTTGATGTCTTAATAAAATCAGAAAAAAATGAGTCGTGTTGTAAGAGATGTGAGCCCACTCAGTGGGTGAACTTGTTGGCTAATACATGAAAAGCTGGAGGAGTAGATAAAATCCAAATGTTTGAAATGAAAATCCCCGACGTGTGTTGCTTGTGTAACAGCATCTCATATTCTCCCCTGCTATGACTCTGGAGACCGATTTCACAAATATTCCTATAAATAAAAATGAGATTTTAGGGCTTGAACAATATTTTTATCAACCCTGTCAATTTCCCTATCATTTTAGAGGTAGCTTAATAGTTTGTAGTAGAACTGTGTTTGTTTGACAGGAAAGTTTGTTCCAGGACCAACGAAAGATGCTGATCCAGAATGATCTACTCAACCTCTAACATAATGATGGATGTTAGTTTGTCAATGATGATCCACCTGTTCAATCCACCAGATAAAATAAACATGTTTACAAGGAATGGTCAAAGTGATAAAACCTTGGAGAATTTACCATGACAACTAGCTTCCACCAAGTTCTTAATGCGTGTTAATGCTCAAAACCAAAATAGCCTAAATAAGATCTTCTGCAGTAGTAAAGCAAAGTGTCGGGTGTCCACAATGCCATTTTGGTTCAGCTATTTTTACCAAGAAAAAAAAATTAGAAACAATGCACTGAAATATAACACTGCCGTTGTTGTTAGGCATTAGAGCATTTTGATATAAATTCTTTAGTTAAATTGAGATAAACCATCTAATACCACAAAATGTATTAATTCATATTTTATTATTAATTTTTAATAATAGTTATTAAATCCTTTGTCCGAAAAAAAAAAGTTAAAACTGAGGAATGGTGTATAATTAGCCTACTAACACCTATAAATGTTCCCAGGATTTTTAAAAAGAAAATGTCAAACCAAAGTTGTAATAGCCTATCAGTACGGTTACACTAATTTTTTTGCGGGAATATAGGCTACTTTACATATTTGAAAACAATTCACTAGTCACTTAGTTTGAAAACACGCTGCCATGAAAAATCGAAATATATATTTTTTTTTTCTTTTTTTTTCTCATTAGCCTATCAAATATTACACTTTTGAACTAAAAATGAATCATTATGGACAAAAGGTGTTTAAAATCAGTCACTTTTTCACCAGTCTTGAAAATCTAGTCTAGAAGTGGTAAAGTGGATGATTGAGAACAGCCTATTTTAAATCACTTCGTCGCTCATCTGTAGCCGACAGGCGAAGCAGCGAGCGGAGCTCCGGAGAGGAGACCGTTAACACAAGGGGAGGGGATGCGCACGCAGTACCTACACCTCAGTGGCTCACGCTCATCAGCCGCGTTATTATCGCGGGGCATCTGACTAACCGGCCGCACCGTGAACCTGCAGGAGCCGCTCGCCGCGGGGGGACCATGATCAACATGAATCGCTCTCCGGACAGCAGGACTTGAGAAATCACCGAAACTGTCCCTCATAGTACACCCAGAATTTCCTCCACTTCTATCACCTGGAATTGCTTCAGCACCAGAACTAATCATGCTGTGGAAAACGGGACTGATTTTTCTGTGCTGGGGCTTGACGTCCGGGGAACTCCAGGACAGGCAGTCCGGTACTCCTGCTGCTCCAGCGCGGACAACTTTGGATTTCGGCTTCGTCCCCTCCGGAGTTTACGATACTGTCGCCTATTACGAGCCTGGCGCCATTGGGATTTTATTTAATATGATGCACGCTTTCCTCTATGTGGTTCAGCCCAACCCGTTTCCTGAAGGTGAGCTCAGTCTTGTGATGTTCTTGAACTTCTGAGCACCACAAGAAACCTCAAATCTCAGATTTTCCTAATCTTGATTAATAATTTGAATCGAGTTCAATATTCAATAGTCTTTTATATAGTCTACCCCAATTTTTGCAGTTTCTTCAACTGCATCTACCATATCATGAGCAGGTAGATGCTTCAGGTGTGAGAGGTGCCACCTGTGATGTCTCAGTGGTGGGTTAGAAGGTGTGAGGGGTTGAATACGGTTGGTCTGTTGTATTCTCCACCTCAGTGTTCCTCATTATTTGGTCAATCTTGAGATTAAGATTGTGACCCTGTGAGTCACTGTCCTAATGAGCTAAAACGCTAATCTGGAATGCCATATGTTGCTGTTCTTGTATTTTCCAGCCTGCCACAGGTGGATATAACCAGGTTCCTGGAGGAATCCCAACCGTACACACCCATTTCAGATTGTGGAGAACTTTAATAAAGAGCTGAGTTGCATCAAGTGTTCGATTAGGTAGACATCCAAAAATGTGTACTATTGGTGGTCCTCTAAGTTCGAGGTTGGGAACAGCTGAGATGTTGCTGTTGTACTTGTCATCTTATACATTCTGCTATGTATGTACTCTTCTGTTTCCAATGGTTATAAATCCTTCGTTTTTCTGCAGCTTGCTCGTTTCTCATCTAGTGATGATACCCCTCTAGCAGTAGGTCTAAATCATCCGTGCATTCGTCTTCTGAATGCATGTGGCACTAATGGCGTTTTGTTTTATTTTCTCCCCTTTTTCTTTTTTTCTCCTTCATTCTCAAATAAAAATAGCCACAACTGTAGCCTTTCAGCGAATTAATTAGAATGATAAAAGCTCTCTGACAGGCCTCCAGTATGATAATTCAGCCCACTGCGTTTGATTTGCAAGAAAAAGACAGCTGCGACAGTCTCGCCATAACTCAGATTCTGCTTGATTTGTTCTCTGGAACTACATATGTTTGTGTCAGTCTTGGAAGTCATTTCATAGCGTGGATTTTTCAGGCCGTTTTCCACGAACTGATTTAAGAAGGCTGGTCAGACATGCTCAAATCCTTTGATCCTTAAATCTGAATGGACTTTGACAAGTGAAAGTAAGGACACTGGTGTGTGATGGTAACCCCGTCTCCTTCAAAAGAAACAGTGTCTTTAGACCTACGAAACTACTCATAAGATCAAAGCGCGCTGGGGGCCGATGGTTTGGTAATAGCCTATTAATTTCTCAGTTTGAAGGTCTCTAGTTTCACAGAGTTATATTGCCAGGAAATATATTTGAGAGCACTTAGGAGCTCTTTGTTCTCAGACACTGACCTGGCTGTCCTGACTGCCACCTTTGGTCTCTCTCTGTGTGTATGAAGTGTATGATTTCTGAAGCACTAGCATCACCACTAGCATTTTTGTACAGATTTCTCAAATGTTCCCCTGTCTGCCCCGTCTGCCACTGGTTGCACAAACAGATATTCATGCTCCAAAATCGCACCATTGGTTGAGCCAGTATTGCGGTTTCAGGATGCTCAAAATCCAGAGCAATGTTTTATATAACCACTGAATGGATTACTTTTAGTTGGTTGTATTTGCATAAGTAAGGATAGGATCAAGTATTTTTATAACATACACTACCATTCAAAGTTTTGAGTCAGTAATATTTAATTTCTTTTTATTTGAATAACAATTTATTCAGCAAGGATGCATTAATAATAGTTATAATGTTACAAATCTATTTTAAAATCAATTTTGAATTATCAGTCTTTTATTTTAACTTTTTATTAATCAAAGAATCCTGAAAAATGTATCAGTTTCCACAAAAATATTAAGCAGTACAACTGTTTTTATTGATAATAATAAGAAATGTTTGAGCACCAAATCAGCATATTATGATGATTTCTGAAGGGTCATGTGACACTAAAAACTTGAGTAATGGTTGCTGAAAATTCAGCTTTGCCATCACAGAAAACATTACATTTTAAAATATATTTAAGTAGAAAGCAGTTATTTTAAAATGTAATAATATTTAACAATATAAGTTTTTCAGCATTTTTTATTAAATAAATATAGCCTTGGTGAGCAACTTTTGAAGGACATTTATGGCGCTTTTCCACTGCATGGTACGACTCGGCTCGGTACGGCACGGCACGGTTCGGCACGGTTTGCGTTTCCACTGCAATTCAGTACCGCTTAAGAGTGGGCGGGATTATCCACATGTCGTTATAGTTGCGCCGCCTCTACTACCATGACTCCTAAAAAAAACTTTTTCATTCCGCATCGCCCCATCAAGCTCTCGCTGGATCCGCTCCTCTGCTATCAACGAGAGGAAAGTCTGTACTTCCGCAACAGACAACAAAACTTTTTGGTTGTTAAAAAAAAGGTGCGCTCGCTCAAAACAGCTGCGTTCGATCCTTCACTGGCTGTGCTGATTTAAATTTAGTGGTTCTTTTGTGTTTGTGTCGCAAGTTCAGTGACGCAGGTAGTGACGATTCTCTCCGGCCAATCCGTGATCAGCAGAGTTTACACGTCACGTTCCGCGTCGCCCCATCAAGCTCTCGCTGGATCCGCTCCTCTGCTATCAACGAGAGGAAAGTCTGTACTTCCGCAACAGACAACAAAACTTTTTGGTTGTTAAAAAAAAGGTGCGCTCGCTCAAAACAGCTGCGTTCGATCCTTCACTGGCTGTGCTGATTTAAATTTAGTGGTTCTTTTGTGTTTGTGTCGCAAGTTCAGTGACGCAGGTAGTGACGATTCTCTCCGGCCAATCCGTGATCAGCAGAGTTTACACGTCACGTTTTGGTAACGGTACGGTTCACTTGGAACCCCAACCGAAGTGGTACTAAAAAAGTACCAGGTACTGTACCCAGTGGAAAACCCCCAAAAAGTGAACCGTACCGAGCCGTACCGTGCCGTACCATGCAGTGGAAAAGTGCCATTAGTGTATAAGTAATCAATTATAAATCCTGTTAGAGAGCTATTGTAATATGAACACCCTCACGGTCCATCTCAGAATATACAACAGAACCCAAAACTAGCAATCCAGGTGATGAACTGACTCAGTCCATCTGGGGAAGACATATGCAGTGGAAGCAGTTGCCAGGGCAACATAACTGTATTCTAGTGAGTGTGTTTCAATGGGAGAGCGTTTCTCCCATTGGCCTACATATGTCTGAATGCTGTAGTGTTAAATGAGGTGCGGGTATCCAATGCTTTCTGAGAGAAGTGCAGTGCTTTAGTGAATCTTAACAGATCCTTGTTTAAGCACAGGACAACCAAGACTATTATACAGATTTTCATGCCAGGAAGTAGGTGAAAGTTGAGAGATTTTGAGAGTTATGTAATTTAATATAGTGTGTGCAATATTATACATGTAAATTTAACACCATAAGTCTGATATCCATGTCTGCCACATTGAATGGGTTCAGATCTGTGCCAGCAGGGCTGCTGAAGGATGGAGCACCAGTGTTGATCGCAGATGGCATCCTGAGTGGCATATCTGTGGGCTGCCAGCTTGCTATGCTCCCCTTTGGTCCTCTGTATCTCTAGAGACAGTTACGCCACACTGAGGCTGAGGGGAAATGAGAAATTGCACTTTTTCCTCTCTCGGTTGCTCTCTTTCCCTTTTCCTTACCCCAGTTATCTCACTCTGCTTGACCTCCATTCTTTCTCCTCCTTGACTCCACTCAACCAGCCCTCTGTTACATATTCATGTTTAAAACTCCTCAAAGGAGTTATATTTAAAGGCTGGTGCTGTTATTTTTAGAGGTGGCTTAAAAAAGCAATGAGCAGTCATTACTTATAATTTGTTCAGTTCTGATGTGCAACTTGTGACTTGAACATAAATCCATTAGAAGAGAATAGAGGGATATTCAAAATAAGGATTTTTTTAATAAACCATATCCTTACATTAAAACTGCACTGTAAAATAGCTGTGTCCCAGGATATGATTGGTATTTTATGAGCAGCTGTGAAATATGTTGCACGTACTTGAATGCAGTGAGTATTATTGATGTTTGAGGAGGAAGCTGGAGATGTTGAGAGTGTGTTATTTGTCTTGCTGTAGCGCTCACGTGTTCTCATGACTCCAGCATGACTGTGGTGCTCCTGGGTCAGGCACATGTCACTGGATTTCCTGGGGCATCTTCAACCCAACATGAGGCCCGTGAGCTCCAGTAAGCCCAGTACCCAGCGTTCAACATTATCAAAATAAGCTGAAATCCTAATATTATTCAAGTAATATTCTTAATAAAACATTTTTCCTGCCAAGTAAAATATGCATGATAGTCTTGTGTTGAGTTTTGGCTGTTTCTTGAAGTGTTGTGGGCTTATCAGTAGCATATTGGATATAAGTCAGTATTGGTGCATTTTTTATTGATTGATTGATTGATTGGTTGGTTGCTGTTGTTCAGTATTGCATATTTGTGCATGCTCATTCCACCTATTTTTACATTTAGATTACCTTTGCCTTAATTCATCTATAGGTATGTATATAGTTAGCCTACTTTAAAAAATCTTAAAAATGACATTTAAAAAAAAATTTGATTCACTTTTTAGAAGCATTTAGAACTTTTAGTTTTAGTGTTCTTTTTCGAATCTATTTAGACAAAATTGTATAGAATTTTAGTATTGGTCAATGGTCATTTAATATTGGTCATTTATAACAGCCATAACATGAAAACAATTATCAGCTTATCATATCAGACAAAAATGTTGTTATCTTTACATGGCCAACTTTTCATTTTCATATTTCAGTCACCGTCAAAGTTTGGATTTATTTATTTTTTTCCTCCAGAGTCAGATCTTTGCTTATGCTTGTTAGTAGGATAAAATATTTAAATATTGAATTTGTACTGAATAAAAAATGAATATTATACATGCAGTTTACAAAAAGTACGTTAATAATTTAGATTTTTTTAAATTACTTTAAGTGAACGCTATAGTTGATGCCAAAGGTAATCTACATGTAAAAATAGGTGATTTAAATCTTAAACCTTAAGGTTTA